TATATGTGTATATACATGTATATATGTACATTATGATATATGTGTAAGTAAGTTTAATAATAATAATATATGTTATTAATTTTACAATATAATATATGCATTTTATACATTGGTGAGCATTGGGACTAGCTAATCCTCCATTTCCACATGGGATTAGTAGTCCCCTCATAAGGAGGTGTTTTTGGTGAGCCGGTATTAGCAATCCCATCTAAGACTAGGATTACATAAAACAAACATGGTACTAAATTTAATCCAAGCCAATTCAAGCCAATCCTGTGTAACAAACGAGCCCGAAAGGGTTTAGGGAGGATTGTATAGTGGGTCAAACAGTCAAAATTTGCCACCTCAGCAAAATAGAGATTTTACTCGGTCGGCCAAACCGCATTATTTATTTATGTATAGGCGCGGGTGAGATAACGTCACTGTTTGAGAAGCCAAAAACCGTTTAAATCAAATTGCGTAAAGAAACCGTTGAAATCACAAATTCACAAACCCTAAACCCTAAAGCTCAGTGCTTTTTAGCTTGAAAGAAGAAGAAGAAGCGGAAAATGGAGCAAGGAACCTTATTGGACGAAGCTCTAGGGTCTCTCCATCTCAGTGGTCGCGTTGTTCTCCTCGAAGACTGCGTCGAGACCAGTGCCGCTTTCGTCCTGCACCACATTCTCAAGCGCTCTCTTTCTCAGCCTCCTCACTCCTCCAACGTCGTCGTTTTTGTTGCCTTCGCTCACCCCTTCTCTCACTACGATCGGATCCTCCGAAGACTGGTACTGCCTCTCTCTTCACAAAGAATTAGTCTTTTTTAAGTGATTTCCATAATTTTATCTATAGCTGCTAATATCCGTGTTAATATACATTTCATTTTTGTTATGAATTATTATTAGTTCTCGTGGTTTCATGTTTATCAGATGAAATGTTCAGATAAGCATAAATGAAAATATCTGATATTTGGATGTGTTTTTGAAACAGGGTTGCAACTTAGTTGTGCAAAGGGACAATAACAGATTCTTTTTCTTTGACGTGCTTGTGGATTGCCCAGGTGAGAAAAATCAGGTATAACACTTGCTAGTATTGACTATCAAAGTAGAAAATCTAGATACTTGCTCAGTATGCAATTGAATTTGTAACAATATAGGAATCAGTGTAGGATTGATATTAAGTTATAAACCATAGTTCCAGTTCGTTAAATCGATTTTTTTTTCTTTTCAAAGAAAAATGTAAGAATTGTTAGTATTGCTGGTTTTGTAATTGAATTTCTTACAAGAAATCCTCCGTTTTTTCATCTTCAGATGGTGAAGAAGGAAAAAACAGTGATGATGGACTTGTTGCTTTGTATGGGAAAATCCAAAAGACTATAAGTGCCTTACCTCAAGAGAACAAGAACTGTATCACTGTTATGATTGATGATATCTCTCTGATGGAGGTGGCTGCTAAGGGATCTACAAATCTTGTTTTAGACTTTCTTCATTACTGCCACACTTTAGTATCAGAATTTGTAAGACATCAGTGGCAACTGTCAGTCATTTTCTCCAGTTTTCACACTACACTCCTTTTTCTTCAGTTATTCATCTCGTGTACCTTTTCTTATTGCAGGGTTGTTCCTTAGTCATGCTCAATCATGACGATATATATTCAGACACGGTGAGGCCCTCCCTTATTTTACAGATGGAGTATCTAGCAGACATTCTGATAAGAGCAGAACCGTTGGCCACTGGTTTGGCATCAGATGTGCATGGGCAGGTATTTGCTTGAACACATTTTGTCACTTTACCAGATTGAATTTTCTGTAAAATAGCTTCTCTAATATGGAAAAAGCAAGAGTCTATTTCCTTTCATTTGAACAGTCCTATAGTGAGTTCACTGGTTTTCACTCATGTTTTTTTCATTTGATGCATCTCTTCACCAAGATAGATTGCTAGAAACTAGAAAGCATGTCTGTCAAATCATTCATGTATGGTCCCCTCTCATCATTTGTGGTTACTTACTTTTTGAGTCTTGGTTGTTATGGAAATGAAAAATCTGCTACTTAAAACTTTTAACATATGCATATGCTCTGCTGATCCTCTGGTTGATATTTAGTTTTGTTTTTTTAAGTGTTATGCGCAGACATATGATAGTTGCTTTGTGTCATGGTCCTTTTTCTGGATTTTCTTGTTCTTTTACCTCTTGTATCTTCTCCGCCGAGTCCACTAGATCACAATCCTGTGTTAGCAATTGAAAAATTGTGAGAACTATTTCCATTAGTATTGCTTGCCGGCTTGCTGCTGGTGACCTGCCAATTACGCTTGTAGCAAGAGTACTTTTCCTGTCTAGTATTACTTCCCAAAAGTCTCATCTTAATGGTTTTGATATCCATACAATTGAACGAGATTACAAAAGTTATGATCCTCATTGTTCTTGTTGGTTGCAGTTGACAGTCCTGAACAGGGGGAAGGAGAGATCAAGAAACAAGCTGTCTAATTTCCAATTCAAAGTAAAGGAAAACAGTGTCGAATATTTCTATCCTGGAAGCAGGACTTGAAGACCATTTATGCTTGAGGAATTTCAAATTGTGGGTGAACATAGCAATTGAGGCTCCCAAGTAATGAGGAAGAGTTTACCTGCTCGCTAAGGTTCTGTACTATTGTGGAGACTCTTGTCCCCTCGTAATGATACTCGGAGATCCAACTACAAGAAGACAAATAGTTTGATACAATATTGCTTTGTTACTTTGAAGGCTGTAACTCTAATCTTATAATGGAAATGCTTAGAATTTTCTTTTCTCATTTTTTTATTCTGCATCCTACTTGAATGGATATTTGCAAGCCAAATTCAGTGGCAGTGGCTACACAGGGAGGGGGTGTTTCTCACACACACATCGAACTTGAGATCACTGATTTGCAAGTCAATGCTCTTTTTCACTGGGCTAGACTTCGTTGGCTTTTGGGCCTAATTTTATTTTGTAATGTTTTAAGTCAATCCAGTTTTGGATATGGGAGAATCACGAGCACCGGAACTCACTCAGATGGACTGCCTAGTATCACGTTGTTTGCTTGAAAGGCTTGCCTGACTGACGTACTAGACTAAGCTAAGTTAGGTCACCCAATCGTATGGGCAGCCAGCCATCAAACCACATTTATTTCTTCTTCTTCACTCCCATCTCAGAAATGGTAAGTGTTAATTAGGTCTTAATCCCC